TCAATGACATCATCCGAGCCCACCAAAGTGAGACTCACCCACACACGCATGCACTTGCGCACATAGTGTAAAAACTCAACAAGTAAGCACGGGGCATGCATACATGCAAGATGGATCACAAACATATCCAGAGAACACAGCAAACAAAGTCTGCATCTGAATGTTTAGCTGCAAAAACATCAACGGGACAATGGACAGGATTTTCTCAGAAAAGTGCAGAGTTCTTGCACATCACAAAACAAAAACGATGCTGCGAAGGTAATGGCTCCCCAAACAAAACACTCRAAGRTAAAGGGAAAAAAAGGCYCGGCGGCATATGATAGGGGAGTTCCTTATGCTTTTTCTTTCTTTTGTGCTTTTTTTCCTTTTCTGTTTTTGCGGGCGAAGCCGCAACGGGTCATCTAGTAACTTATAATAATCTCAATGAAAGTGAAAGAGATAAAAAAAGAAACTGTGTTCGTCGGTTAAATCAATCAGCTGAGTCAGTGGTTTCGAAAAAGGAATCCAGACGGATGCCTGAGGGCATGATCATACTCACAGATAAGGTTTTCCCCAGCTAAATCTGACACAGAATTCGGACCATATTCCAGAGAAGAGTTTGGACGGTGCGTGCTTATGCGCTGAGCATCCTTTCTGTGAGAAGTTCTTTCTGAGGTCGTACACAGTACACTAACTTTTCTAGACTGAATCTGCCCATAAGCGCTTACGGATTCAAAAATGTCCATGTGTGAGTGTATCCCCCTCTTCCCCCCCGCCCTCCTCTAGACTGATTGGTGCACTCATTTGAACCCATTTCTTATGTCTATTCGGTGATTAATTTGCAGATGGCAGCAGCAGCACCAGGTGGACGTTCTCAAGAGGGTGCCCTCATGGCCATGATTGCGGATGAGGTAATTTCTCAGGAGGTCGTTCCTCCTTCCTTCCCCCTTACTCTCCTCTCTTCCCTTTTCTTTCTTTCCCTCACCCCCCGCGCCCTCCCCCCCCTTCCCCTTCCCCCCATTTTCGCCCGATTTCCTTCCCCCTTCCCCCACTCTTCCCCCAATGATGTTCAGTGTGTGCCTCTCTTTCTCCCTCTCTTCGACGTGCAGCAGGTTTCTGTTTTGTTTGTCATTTTCTTTGTTTTGCCATATTCGGGGTCTTAATACTGTTTGTGTTGCTTGTCAATTTCTGTCTTATCACAGGATACGATAACCGGGTTTTTGCTGGCGGGAGTTGGGCACAAGGATTTTCGTAGGAAGACAAATTTCCTCATTGTCGATTCCAGTATGTCTTGCACACACCCCTCATCAAACCCTTTCATCTCTCAATCTCCTCTCCTCTCCTCTCTCCTCTCCTCTCTCTTCGCCTCCCTGCCGTGCTCTCGCTCATCTCCGCAAATCCTCTCTCCGCCAGTTAATAGCTTTCATGCTGCACACAATTTTCTCACTTGGCAAGCGTGTATTTTCATGGTGTTGCTTCGAGTTTTTCTGCTTTTTTTTTTTTTTGATTCGTAAATGATTTTTTTCCTTTGCTCTGAGTGGCATTTTGCAACTGAAGGGGGGGGAGCCCTTAACACCTGTCTCTTATACACATCTAGATGTGTATAAGAGACAGGTTAATAGCTTTCATGCTGCACACAATTTTCTCACTTGGCAAGCGTGTATTTTCATGGTGTTGCTTCGAGTTTTTCTGCTTTTTTTTTTTTTTGATTCGTAAATGATTTTTTTCCTTTGCTCTGAGTGGCATTTTGCAACTGAAGGGGGGGGAGCCCTTAACACAATATGAGAACAGGCAGTTTTTGAACTCATAATGCTTGGATCAAGAGTTGTCGGTGTCTATCATCCAGGCATCCAGCCATCCAGCCAGCTCCTCGATATCCATGTGTTGTCCATTGGCTGCTAGCGAGGTTATCTGGCAAGGTGGTTCAGCTGGGTAGCCTGGGCCAGGACAGGATCAGGCCAGCTCGGCTGTTCGCCTTCGTTTGCTGAGAACCATTAGGAGGGTGCCATTGGAAATTAATGTAGCAATTGAATAGTGTTTTTGCCTAGGTGCCTTGGGCCGGGACAGGTACAGGGTAACCTGTCGAGCAAATTCAGACAAGGTCATTTGATGAATGTGGTTCATGGGTCAGGCAAGTGGTGAGCACAGTTGGGTTTGGGGCGGGGGGGGGGGGGAGGGGATAGGGAAGGTGCCAAAACAGTGGAATCAAATTTCCTGTTTTCTGCAACTTTCTGGTGGCTATTATTGCATTCTAGGAGGCCATGACCCTCTCAGTATCATTGCATTCCCTAATGTGCCTGCCTGCTGACGGAAGCGTGCTTCTGTGATCACAAAGAAGAAGAAGAAGAAGAAGAAGAAGAACCGATGACAAGGATGGTGTTGATGAGAAGGGAGGGGTGAAAGGGAGAGAGGGCGTGACGGGTTGTAAGAGTCTGGAGATAGGGGAAAAGCATGGAGGGGAGGAGGGAGAGGGTGAAGGGAGGGGTGTTGGGGAGAGGGAGCGGGGAGTACGAAGTGGGGGGAAAAGAGAGATCACGGTGAGTGGCAGAAGGGGAGAGGGCAGGGGGGAGAGGGGGGATTTGAAGAGTGCCAAAGGGAGGAATTGCAAAGGGTGCGGCTTGAGAGAGTGTGTAGCCAGGGAGGAGGGGTTGAAGGGAAGAGCATGGAGCTGAGGGTGTAGAGAGTGCACAAGGGGCAGGAAGGATCATGGAGGTTGGCGGTAGAAAGTGAGGCGGGGTGGTGGTCGTGCAAGGGGGGTGAGTTTGGATAGTAGAGAGGAGGATTCAGTGGACAGGCCAGGAGTGCCGGGCACAGAGAGGCGTGAAAGTGTGAAGTGGAGCGTGTGTAAGGGGAGGTTGGGGGGCTGGGAGCATGCAGGTTCGGGGGAGGAGAGCTCCAAAAGGGGTTGAGTGGTCAGGGAGAGAGAGCAGAACATGAGAGGAGGGGAGCAGGGAGATCTAGAAGCCAAGCGGGAGGTTGAGAATGGGTGTGAGGAGGTTGAGAAGGGGAAAGGGGGGTTTCATGAAGGAGGCAGGACAGGGAAAGAGGGCGGCGGAGTGGTGTGAGTGCAGAGTAGTATAGGGAGGAGTGCAGAGGGACTTAGCAGGGAGGGGAGGCATGAAAGAGGAGAGAGAGAAGGGGGAAATCGACTACGCAACAGGACCCCTTACAAGGGTGAGGAGGCTGCGCTTCACGATGGGGAGGAGGAGACAAACGAAGAGCAAAAGGAGGAGGAGGCGGTGGGAAGAAGAGAAGGCAGAGGAGGAAGATATTCCTGTAGAATATATGAGCCAAAGAAAGGTATTTAAAGAATCAGAAGATATATAAGAAAATCAGGAAGAAAATCCTTGTGCAGGAGCCATTCTAATCTTCTCCGCATCGTTCCAATTTTAACTAGAGGCCATCCAAATTTTTGGCAATGATGATATTGCATTGTGGAAAAGAAAGAAATGTTATGATCCTGGCTACTTCCAAAGTGCAAATTCACAAGGAAAGCCAATGCCACCCAATTGCAAAGGAAATGAAAGCACTTGCAAAGAGATAGAGACCAAAGAAGAAGAAAGAAGAAGATGTACACCAACAAGACCTATGACAATCCCAATAAAAATGAATGGTTGGACCAGAATCAATATCCGAAGTTCCGTCTTACTGCCAGCATAATAAGAGGTCCACCATAGCCATGCCGCCCTCGTCTTCTTCGTCTCACAGGCCTAGGCTATGGCTGACTACTACGGGCCCTGCCCTGATGTGCAAATGACAACGAAAGCAGCTATGGCCACTGCTCTTCAGGCCGTCATGCCTGACTCTGCCTTGAAGCCTCCTTGGTGCAGCGCTACCCCAACTGGGGCCTTCCAGATGAAGCGCCTAACAAGGTGATGAAGATGGAGTCTACCATAGCCAGGTAGGTACGTCACCACTCTCCTCCTTTGCCCCCTTCCTCTTCCTCCTCAAGCTGGACTGCTTGCCGGAGCCTGGCAGAGCGCCCAGTTGTCCTTCTTCCTGCCAGACAGGGCTTTGAGACCAGCTCCCGCTCAAGCAGCATGACGCTCAAACTTGCATACTGCAAATGAGGTAGAGCTCAGCGCTCTACCTGGAGATATAGCGGCCTACTTTGCCTCTTGGCGGTGACTTGCAGGCCGCGCGGCCTCCAAGCAACCGGTACCTCCTCCCTCTCTGAGGGAAACATCATTGCAGGCTCTGATATCGTCCGCACAGGCCCTAGACTCAGGCTACTTGGACTGGTACCTGTCTACCTCTAGCCTACCGGTACGGAGCCTCTAAAATAAATGCCAACTTTTTGTCTTCTTCTGCTTGGCCTCCAGTTCCCAACAACTTGAGTGGTACCGGCCTACCTGCTTCTTGAGCGTTTTTTCCCCGCTGCCGTAAGTTTCATGGGCCTACTCCCCGCTACTTGAGTGCTTTCCTGCTCCAATCCTCAAAGTCACGGCCACAGTTAAGTGCCAGCCCCATGGGCCTCACAACACACGTGCCCTGTTGGGCCACACGCACACTCAGGCAGCCGTGCAATCAGACAGGCACACAGACCAGCAGGCACGCACACACACACAGACTTAGAAAACTCAGCAGAACGCGGGAATCTCAGCAAGGCATACATTCCAGCGGCACAACCCCAGAAATCAGCAGTGTTTGCAGTCTGTGTTTTGGCGGGTCATTACAGGGGGGGAAAACAGAAAAAAGCTCAAAAGAATTGATATTGTGTAGAATCACAACCATGGTAACCGAGACCCAGACACCGGGCATTTCTGGACTGTCTTCCGGACAAGTGTCTGGACCGGTCCAGGCTGTCTGGTGATCCGGATATCACCGGACACACGGACATCACTGGACCCGGACAGTCAGGATTGGTGTCAGGGGGTTAAAAATGTCCAACAAAAAAAAAAAAGGGAGGGGGGGGGGGGAGGAGGGTGGGGGGTGCGTGTTGGCAGACATTCACCTGCTTTGCCCTTTGTAGTTCAGGCAGCAGAGCACCTGTCTTGCAGCAAATCAACAAGCACATTCAACTAGCAGACATGCAGAGTTGCAAACAGTGCAAAGCAGGCACAAGACTAAAGAAACGGAGGGAAAAAAATTGGAAAAAGTATGATTAACTTCGAAGTTCAAACTTTGAATTGAGTTGTTTAAAAAGTTCATAACTTCATACAACCCCCTGTCTAAGCCTTAGGAGTAGTGGTAGGTAGGTAGTGAAGGTGAAATGATAGAATTTGAAAGATGATGAAAGATTTGAGAGACGAATATAGCGTTGTTAAAAATAAAATAAAAAAAATAAAAGCTCGAACTTTGCAGTTCAATTCAGAACGTCAGTCTTCAGACTGGCAGCACTGGCAGCACTGTCAGTGCTCTCTCTCTCTCCCTCTCTCTCTCTCTCTCTATATATATATATATGCCTACGGTTTACCGGGCAGTTCTGTTTGTGACGATATACGTTTGTTGCCCTCTTCTCTCTCTCTGCCTACGGTTTACCGGGCAGTTCTGTTTGTGACGATATATATACACACACAACGGGCGGCAGCGGCCGGCGGCACGTAGATTAAATAGGGAATGAATTATGAATGATAGACGAGTGCACACATGGAGCGTCTGGCGGCCGTTTTCGGCCAGTCGATAAATGAGACGAGGATATCGTCACACAACGGGCGGCAGCGGCCGGCGGCACGTCGAAACGGCTGCTTTGGCACTGCTTGGGCCTGTGTGAAACCCGCCACCCCAAAAACCTGCAGTGTCTTGTGTCCGGGCCTCTAGGCCCTGTCCGGTGGGGTGAAACGACGCTGAAAAATCACCCCGCTATTTTTGAATGGGCGGCCAGGACCCGAAAAACATCCTGGGCGGCCCCTTTATTTTGTTGACTTTTGCCCTGGGGGCCTCCATCCGGACATCACAGACCGGACACCGGACACGGACATGTTTTTCTGGACTCTGTCTGGAACCTGGTCCGGATGTCCGGTCGGTTACCATGATCACAACCCACACAACTTTTGGCTAAGGGTCACTTCCGAATTCCGTTTTGAAGATTAAGAACTGAGTTACTGAAATTGAAAAAGGGAAACAAAGCCCCTTACACCTTGTTTTTACCCCCTTCCCCTTCCCCTCGCCCTCCAAGCATTGTTTCTTAAAAAAAAAAAAAAAAAAACAGAAAAGAGTCTGGATGTAGGCTTACTGCGATCCAGAAAGGGAAAAAGAAGTCTTTTGAGATTACCGGTGTGGCCTGGCGGGTACCCGACCGGGCATGTCCCTCAGATGCATGCGTGGACAGAGTCTTTTGAGCTGCCCGGGGTGGCGGGTACCTGACCACGCATATAGTCCAGATGCATGTGTGGACAGACGAGTCTTGTGCGCTACCCAGGGCGGGTACGTGACCGGGCATCTTTCCCGGATGCATGCCTGGACAGACATTAGGGTAACCTACGCTTTTCTCATTTTATGTCCTGGTGTGCACCCACCATGTGGGTGACACACAGCATGTGTGCACTCGGCATGCGCATAGCGTGCTACGACATATAATTGATAGATATACTCCCATGCCCCTAACTCTGTCTTGTCTGCCTTTCATTGAGAGCAACAGCAGAGAAGAAATTGGCTCTCTTTCTAATTGTGGTCATCGGTCGCTGCAGAGACGTCAACGAGGACGATCGAGGATACCTTTAAGGAGTTCACATCTCGGGAAGACATCGCCATTGTCTTGATCAGCCAGTTTGTAAGTTCGCATGTGCTCTCCCTCGATTAATGATTTGTCTCTCTCTGTTACTCTTTCGGTCGTATTCGCTGTTTGGGGTTAATTAATGTCTCCGTTCGATACTGTTTACTGGAAAGATGGTTGGGGATAAGGTTTGGGATAAAAGTTCGGGGACAAAGTATTCGAATAAAATATTTGGACAGAAGTTTCCGGGAGATCTGGTGTTGATACTAGGCCAGCATATCACTGTTCTTTTGTTTTTTTGCAGGTGGCTTGTGGGGCATATGTACTCTTGATATTAGGTGATGTAAACACTTATTTTATAAAATACACACACACACACACACACACACACACACACACACACACACACACACACACACACACACACACACACACAACACACACACACA